GGATCATAAAACCCTCCTACAGAGTGCATGAAATCTTACACAGAAGAGTATATAATGTATGATTTGTATATATTCAGTGCTAAATAATATAATTAGAATCAAATATATTATGTATATGTGATTTTTTTTTACTTTTTCTAAAAATTTGAGAACTTGATATATTCTTGAATAAAAATTAACTTCTTTATATTAGGAAAATGTCAATATTTAAAAAATAATTAATATATGTAATAAAATTTTCACAAGCATTTTAATGGATCTTTCGAAGCTGAAAACATGATGTTAAAATATTTGAGGAAGAAAAGCATGTGTGATAATTATTGGAATTTTTAATGAAAATAAGGTGAGAATTTTAAAAATTAGTCATCAACTTAAAGTTATATTAACTAAAACAAAATAATATTGGAATTAGAAATAGAAATTTGCTTCATGAAATACAAGAGAATCTAAAACAGATCATAGGTGTTTATTATATACAGCAATTAATATCTGACAAATTTAGCAACAATTTCATGGTAAAAACTACTAAGTTATTTAATAAATAATGCTTAACAAATTGACTATCCGTTCTAAAGAAAATAAACTAAGATTTTTAATGCCCTCTACAAAAATAATTTCTAATCTTATTCAAAATATAAAAAGCAATAAATTACAGACTGCAATTTTTAGTAGAAAATTTAAAAAATTTAGAAATTATTTTAAAATTTTATCTATGCAAGCGAACAACTAAGAAGTATACTACCATGAAAAATAAATCACAGTAAAGTAAAAGTACAAGAAATATCTAAATCTAGATTATCAAAAATTTTGAAACAAGACAGAAAACCCAGAAATCATAAAAGAAAATAGTTACCAAAGTTTGCTACATAAAAATATATATGCATGCATATGAATATATATAAATATACATTGCAAAAATAATTAAGGCAAATGTTTCATTGAAAGAAAGCATGTTCAATGTATGTGACAAAAATAGCATTGATGTATTAAAGATAGACAAGACTACTAAAATAAACATTTAAGATAAAGAGAAAAGGCAAACACTACAAGAGTTAAAGTGCACAAGGCAGAGTTTATGAGAGTATGCCATGGCTGTGTGTAAAAGATGGGTGGTTTGTATTTGCATTTTCTTAGAAATGTTGAATCTTTCTGTAATGTGATAAACAAATGATAAATATGTGTACAAGTATTGTGTAAGCTATAAGGGTTGTATGATGCAATTGGAATGATTTTATTTTATTTTATTTTTTTCTGCTTAAGTCTTGGGTTGTGCTGCCTTGGACCTCTCAAATCAGTCTGGTATTTCTACTAAAATGTCCTCAACACAGCTCTTAGGACTCAAACCAAACTAAACCTCGATTCCCTTCCAGGACTATCTAATAAGTAGGCTCCCGGCAACACAATATTAACAATCACATGATGCTCCACTTCTGTCCTGTATAGAAACTCTCAAATCTCCCCTGAGGAAGATTTCACAGACTATCTTATATTGTAGTCAAGGTATTCAATTAAACTATTCACTTTATTATAAAACATTTTCTGGAAAGACCTGTTAAAAAATGAAATGACAGTACTTGCGGATTTCTAAGTAATTTGTCAATGAAATTAGTGAATTGCAATTATATCCATTTTGAAAGCATTGTAGAAAATAGAGCCATGGATGTCAGACTAGCTTTCATAGTGGGTACTTAGAAACTACAGCAGAGAGAAGGACTGATGTTGAACTGAAGTCCCCCTACCTCCTGATTTTTCAAAACAATTCATTTTTTATGGTGTTTGTATACCAAAGATGCAACAATAATTTGGTTTTAAGGTGTTAATGAAATTAACAAATTTGAAAATGAGTAGCCTAGATCTCTTAACAAAATGCTCAACATTGTGAGAAAATAATTTAGATGTATTGGTACAAATGAAGTTGTGAAGATGCATTTACTAAAGAGAAACATAGGCAGAACTTAAACATCAGAAGAAAAACAGGGAAGAAAAAATAATAGAAAAAAAAGAAAAAAGAAATACAAGATAAGATACTATATTATCAGAATTTTCTTCTCATAGGTAGATGAATACCAGCAAAGTAGTTTACCCCTTTATTGAGGAAATGTCTAGGGGCGAAATCCTTACTACTTAGTAAATGACAGCCTTTCTTGAATATAGGAATGATGTATATTAGTGCTATATGTTTCCAAGGATTAACTCGAAGTCTGCAAATTTGATCACTTCAGTTTTAAATTGATTTGTACAAGATAGAGAATGATGAATAGATGCCAATTATATGATTAAATATGAATTCATTTCACTGATTCAAAGTCCAGAGTCTTCTCTTATCTTGGAAACATTAATGAATCTCAGATTCAGACAATCTTTGGGCAATAGGCATTATATAATGGGCTTCATCACTTCTGACCATAAAATGTAGGAACTCCTTAAGCTGTAATAGTTTAACTATACAGTATTATAGGAAATAAAAAGAAAGAACATTTAATAGTTGCATCATTCCAGACAAATGTTCTATTATGTTCATAGCAACTATTCAACTATTTTTTAGCCTTTTAAAAATATAAGCCTTCTAAAATAAATAAATAAATAAAAGGCTTCTACTACAAAACAATATCATTTTATGTATATATATATATACATATATATAAAGTAAATCCTCATGTCTAGCCTTAAAATGTACATTAAATCTAGCAAAAAACTTGGCATTTATTAAATACTCATAAAACATTTGCTGAAAAATAAATTATTGAAATTCACTATATATTTCTGCCAAAATATTATTCCCATTCTAGTAAATTTTTAAATGTTCCATTCTAAAGTCTTTATTTTGGCAACAGTAAAATCAAAGATATGACTACTTACTCCCCAAATTATCATTTTATTTACTTGGCCAACCAATATCACATTGTTGATCAGAATTAGGTGTCAACTAAGAGTACTTTTTATTACTCCAAAAGGAAAATTGTCAGCAAGTTTTATAAAGATCTTCTCAGATACACTGCTTTTAATCTTCAGTACACAAATAAATAATTGGATATCCACTTGATTACTGTACTTTAATTTTGTCTCAATTTGGAAATTTAGTAACACTTATTTTGGAGGCTGTCAATCTCCTGTTAGCACTGGCTGATAAGTCTAGATCACTGCAATGTTTAACTAATGATAAATAATTAGAAAATAAAAACCAGAAACACTATATACCAATTATAATTTAATTCACATTCTCATCTATGAATTTTGAGCCATGTCATCAAGATAATTAAAATAGTAGTTGGTTCTTAATCCTCTTTCAGTAATAGACTTTTTATAGTAAAAATTGTAAATGGGGTACATAATTACTAAAATGTTGAAGTAAAGTATGGTTCTCTATAACTTAGTAATTTTATTGAATAAATTAGTAAACAATGATATCTATATGGAAACACAGCTCAAAGAAAAGTGGAATCAATGCTAGTCACATATGTCTTTGTAATACAATAATAATCGCTGCCATATTTCCTATGTCATATTTACTTTATATATTTATTATTCAGTTTTGCTAAGTCTCAGCAATTCAAATTAACAAATATTTATCACACACTAGTATGTGTAAGATATAGTGCTGGCTATTACAGCACCAAGAATAAACAAAGAAGATGTGAATTTTATTCTAATGGAACTTACAACTTAGATGAAGGAGGATAAAATAAATATTTACACAAATGATGTTGAGTGCCTAACTGAAAAAGAAAAGCACCATAAATCACTACTTAGTTCACTATCACATGCTATTTACATACATTCTTCAACACTCCTAAATTCCTCAAGTTTCTATGTAGAAAATAATTATTATTTTGTTTTTATTTTTTAAAATGCCTTGATGCCATGAAAAGAGCCACTTTAAAAAGTTGTTTATTAGCTTATTTGAGTTTGTATTACTCAACTAATGAAAAACTGAGTTTCTAAGGACATTTTATCACAGAACTGGAAAGGTGTATAAAATTTACTGTTGTAAAAGTTGTTTTTGTTGCTTTAAAAATTTTCAACGTTATTTTCTGTTTTCATTTCAGCATGTATCTACTCATCCAATGGGAAAGGCTAAACACTGATCTTTATGAAATAAAGAAGGGTCTTGTTTAAAACTTAATATTGTTATTGTGCTTTCCAAGACAGAGATTCTGTTTCTCAGGTTAATTTGATACAACTTTAAAGTGACATTTTACAGGTGATTTATATTTCACTATCGGTGTTTTTTCCCGTATACAGCATCAAATACCTGTTGGAGTATAATATACTATAAGAAATTAATCATTTAAAACATCTTCAATTCTCAAATTTTGACTTATTTATTGAATGAAGAACGTCCATGGAGCAGTTACTAGATTTGAATATTTCAACTTTTATCAACAGTGGTCATGAATACCCTAGGAAGAGTTCCGTATAATGTTGACACCTCAAAATATTCTGGGTAGTGAGGGCTTTTACATATAACTGCCTCTTAGAAATATGACAATGTCAGGAAGCATTTTATTCTATTACATATTAAAATTAGACTGAGAAACTCATCATAGTGCAATTAAGTTCTGCCCTTTTCTGATTAGTTTCCATTTGCTCTGTCTTTCCCTCTACGTGACACTCCTTGATCATTCACAGTTTTCTCCTACTCTTCACCTCCCCTTTCTTTATGCCTATATATGCCATTTATTTCATTATCTATGTCAGATTTTCCATCATCCCAATTTTATCAGTTCTTATCACTTGCTCTATAACTGCCCTTTCCTTTCATTTTTCACATTTCTCCAACTGATATGTTTACTTTCATATTTATTATAAGTATATTAGGGAAAAATATAGAGAAGGTCACATTGTCTTATCCTGGATCAAATACCTGACTATTTACGATGGCACTAAGGAATGTCATTTCTTTATACAATTATATAGCACATGCTCTATTTTAGTTTGTAATATATTAAGGACAGTCAACAGTGATGGAAACTGGCACAGTTATTAGGGGGAGTTTTTACCTGAGGTCTTGGGATGGCTCTGCTCTGACGTGAGGTGTCTCCACAGAGTGTCCAAATACTGCTCCTTCAGTACCTGGGGGTAGCATGAATATAGCAGTCAGTGTAAGCAAATCCACAGACACAGTGGGTTTCATCTTTATTTTTATGTATCAAGTATTGTCCCCAAAACGGAAAAAACTGAAACCAGGAGTACAGAAAATGCAAGAGAAAAACTGGAAGAAGAAAACCAGGTATTGAAGAGTAGAAGAATGAAAATCTATATGTTACTATGTTAGCTAATTAAGATTATATTAATTATAAAAGTTGAAATTGATTCAGAATTCCCCCTTCTCCAATCAAAGAACAAAGACTTATCCATCTCCTTCCCTTGCCTTATTTCCCAGTTAAGCAAATTTGGGGAGTTATAAGTCACAATATTCACTTTTATCTTTCTAAAAATAGTAGGTCATGAGTGGCAATGTGGAGGTAAGCTCCAATCTAGCCTCGTATAAATTATTAAAATAGATAGCTCCCATAGGGTCTTTAGCAATTCTTCCATTTAGAGCTACCAACTTTGATTTATAGATCAACGCAGAGAACATGTCCCTTTACTTTGAGTTAAGACTCTACCTAAAACCATCAACTGCTTTAATTCATTTCATTATGGTTGATTTCATACGAGGTCATAGTTTTCTAAAGAGGCCATGGACTCTAAATCTTTTTTCAGACAGTTGGATGATACTCTAAACTTTCATTTTCCAACTGTACTTGATTTTCCAAATTCCCAAAGCTTTTCCATAATTTAGCTGAGTAAAATGAAGTGGTATTTTTTTGCTTCAAAAATCCAGTGAAAAAAATATTTTAAAGAAGGTATTGATGACAAAATCTTTTTTGCAGTTTTATATAAAGTCTCAGATTATTATCTTCAGAATAAACCTTAGTATTATTAATTTGGTATCATCTTCTTCAAACATCTTGGCATAAAAACCTAATGTCTACTCCATTAATGGCCTCAATTCTAGCTAAATAATACAATGCAGTTCAAAAATATAAATATTAAGCCTACAAAACAAATCTGCTTCTGTTAAATGAGAAAAATCATTCAAAAGATATTTATTCAATAGGCAATGATGAAATTGCCACTAGTAATTAGAGCTAACATTTAAATTACTTAAAAATAAATAGCTATATAGAGAAAAGTATTAAAACCACCAGAAACTTCTTTACATAAAATAGCAGTACAGATCCTGATTATGAATAACAGAGAAAGAGATTTTTTTTTTCAAAGACTGCAGGATTTCATCTATATTATAGTTCTGAGGGCAAACTTACAAAGTTCTGCTGCAATAAATCCCTGAAATTGCAGATTTCAATTGATAAGCTAAAAGCAATTGATATTTGTTGAATGCTTACTGGGCTTTAGTAGTTTGTTTTGTTATCAACCAAGACTCTGTATGGTACATAGCACTTGGCTTTTAAACTGTTTTCACAGATTTTTGAACAACTATTTCCCTAAGTAGTTTGTTTTTATCATATCTTGAAAGGTATTTTATTTCTGAAAATAGAAAATTTCTTAAGCTGAGTCTAAAAAGTAAAATCACAGTTTGAGGTAAAATTTTAATTTTGTTATTGTGGCATGAGTTGCATTTGAAATAATATTCTAAGTTATAAATGTGCATATCTCAAGGAGAGACTTTTTAGTATTTTAAAATAAGATATAACTTCTAGAAGGGATAGTTATCCATATGCAAAGCTCACATATTAATTTTCACCATTGTATGATTATGAACATTTCTTACACAGGGTGACAGAAATATAATCAATCAATAGTAGTAATATTTATTTTCACACACAGAATGGCATACATAGTAACTGAGCACAGAATATGGTAGTGAAAATGAAAACAGAATGTCAACAAAAGTTCAATTTTTCAGTGAGAATAGAGTTTCAACTCTAAGCTTCAATTTAGAAAATTATTAATTATTTTAAAGAAGATTCTTGAAGAATTAAGTATATAATCCTACTGTTTAAAGGACTGAATTGAAAACTGAATAAAATGCCATGAGTAGTTGCTAACTAAATGCAGGAATCTGGATGATAAGACAATCACTCTTCCTGTTTTTGTCCATAAATGAGCCAAGTGTACAAAAATTTATTCTTAAAATAAATCAGCAAGGGAAGATAAAAGTCATCCCAACCAGGTATATACTCTAACAGCATAAGAAAATCAAAAGTCAAAAAATATGTCTTCCATGATTGGGAAATTTTACAATTGTCGGACTACTAGTAGAATTGCCAGATTTAGCAATTAAAAATATATGAAATTGAGTTCATCTTAAATTTCAGATAAACATCAAATCATTTTTAGTATAAGTGTATTTGCAGGTGATATATTTATATTAAAAAATGTTTTGAGGAGTCAAAAGAATTCAAATTGAATTTAAGTAAATTCAAAGTTAATAGGGCATTGCGCCTTTTATCTGGAAACCCTAACAATTTGTTGACATTTATTTGTTATAAAGAGTACAGATCTGATTTATCCTCACTTCAGGAAAAGAAAGGCAGGGACATGAATTCTCATATCACAGGCTACAGAAACCATGGAAACCAAAAAGGAGCACAGACATAAAAAGGACAAAAGGAGCATAACACAGATACTTAATATGTATACTTAAATTTATTGAATAAATAAATGTTTGTTGTTTATTGTTATTGTAAGTGGCTATTCAACATGATATAAAGTTGAATTCTGTTTGACTGTATAAGCCTTAAAGGATATTTCAGATAATTTAAACTGACTACAGTCTTACAAGACTTAGGGAAAACATAAGCTGTTGACTACAGTGATTGTCAGAACAAAAAAATGAGACAAGTAAACCACAGGGTCCCAAAATAGTAGAAGCCATTCATATGATAATTTTGACTTCAAAAGACTAAGGATGGCATATTCTCTAGAAAGGATAATAAACAGATATGAATTGTGCTTCTACTTTACATTTAAAGACAGTTTAAGACAAGCTAGGATGCTATCCTTTACAAATGCTTAACATAAAATGCCATACCATACAAAACAAATCATTCAAAATAAATGGAAGAGTCCCTTTTGATGTGGCTATCAATATTCTAAATGCTATCTCTACTCTACATGTTACAACCTAAGCTACTCATTATTAAACCATTGGTACTCATATATTTTTAGGGAAGTCTTTGGCCCCAGAGAGGTAGAACAAGGAAAGGAAACTACAAAGAGGTGTAACAGAGAGAAGGGAAACAAAGGAAGCAAGAAATGCTGGGACGTCTCACATTGGGAGGAAAAAAAAAAAAAAAGCCCAGATAAGTTTAAGAAATTATATCTTTAAATTATTTGTTCTGATGTTTTCCAAAGTAGAATTTTGCTTTTAAGTTTTCAATAAAATTGACCATAAACAAAAATCTTTTTTAAGAATTTTTTTGGAGGGCACAAGGAAGAGAATAAGTTTTACATACAGGTTAGTGTGTTATGAAAAAGATACCCACATCTGAAACCACCTATATAAAATTAATATATGGTCACAGGGCAAAAACTGTGGTAGAAACCCAATCCTACAAAGTTTTGGGATACAGTTAAAAGTTAACAAATCTTTTGTTCTTAAAGTTCTTTCCTCCCTGCATGGCTGCCTGCACGTAATCAATTATCTGCACATCTTGATCCCTGGGAAACGATGCCTGCAATGTTGGTGAGCTTATTTTTCATGCACGCCTTCCGGGATCCTCAGGTCATGGTGACTTCCTTGATGGTGAATTCTTTTAAAATATAGGTGTAGTTAAACAGTAAGCAGTCATTGTTTGCTAGCATGGCTTCTTAATTGTTTATTGCTTTGGAGTCACACAGCAGACTTCTAACTTTCCCAATTGCTCCTATAAGACAACATCACAATTGTATTGTATTGTTTGAGATATTTTTCAGACTTTGTATGCTGGCAGATCCCCTGACACCAACTGGGCCGGTGACCTGTAATCCTCCATCCAGAAACTGACTCAGCACACAAAAACAATCTTGACACTGACTATGATTTCATCACCAAGCAATCAGCAGTCACAATTCCCTAGTCCCTGTCCATCAAATTACCTTTAAAAACTCTGAGTTTAAGAAATATCTCCCATCATCCTTCTCAGCTACCCTGCAATTATTAGATTCTTTCTCTCCTGCAACAACTGCTTTGAGTGTATTGGGGCTTTTGTGCAGCAGGCTTTTTATGCAGCAGGCACAGCAAGCCCTTGAGTTAAAAGAGGTTGACATAACATGAGCATCTATCCTCTTATCCCTCTTACCGAGGTAATTCATAGAAATCTTAGGCAGCATCTTAAATTCCTACTCCATAATAGGGATAGGATCCAGGGCAATTCATTTGGATCTCAAAGGGCAAAAAGATTTCTATTAACTCATTATCTTCAAATTTGAACCTAGAAGTCTTCATAATTTGCTTTTATCTTTCTGTGTTTGCATCTGCTTCTCCCAAATCTAAATTGGTCATAGAGTGAACCAAGAGTAGCTTTGTTTTGTTCTCAGAGTTGCCTCTAATTCATTTTATAAATTTTGACAAGTATTAAAGCCCTCTGATTTTTATTTGTAAAATTAGACTCTGAATAACATGATCTCTAAGGTACTCTCCATTTCTAACAGTTGCAATTTCATTTTTTTCCAGAAGTCAAAATGTGTATATTATAAACCTTCTCATTACTCCTCAAACACAAAAAGAAATGAGTTTGAGTCTTCAAATCAATAGAAAAAAATTATTTTGAGAAGAGATGAGTAATTATATTGGAAAAAATATTGTCATTTATTTAATTCTATTAAAAATACTTCCTTTGAGATCTGAAAACTTTACTACCATTTAAAAGAAGAAATGTCAGACTTCTGGTAAGATGGTGATGGGACAGGTGACTATGGGAATCTCTATGAAAGTGAGTGTCCATAAAAACTCTTGCTTTCCCCCCTGCCAGCCAGCCACTCTGCCCTGGATGGCCCTTGATTCTCAGCCCATGTACCTCCAGGTTCCCTCCCTGGCTACACTGCTCCAATCCGGGTGACCCTCAGCTCCCAGCCTATGGAAT